CCTGCTGCCGGCCCTCCTGCTGTATTTCCAGCTGCTGTAGACCCAACTGCTATGCGTCCGGCTGCTGCCGCCCTTCCTGCTGCCAGACCACCTGCTGTAGAACAACCTGCTTCCGCCCCATCTGCTGTGGCAGTTCTTGCTGCTGAGTGACCTGCTCTGGATTTGTGCACCTTCTTTCTCCCATCCTTCAGTTCAGGCAGAAAGCGTCTATTCAGAGAACTTGGGGACTTCCTGATGTCATGAAAACAGAGGCATGGACTGATTTGAAAAAGCCCAGTCTCTTTATTAGTATTTATTCTCTTTTATAGAAGCTTTTTATTACTATTGAATCTGAATTTACAGGCAAATTCCACATCACATGTTTTAGAATTCTTTATTCTAATTCAATATACATAAAACTTCAAATGATACCCTTCTAGATGTTTCTTTCTAATGTTATTCTGTCGAATCAATTTTTATGTGGAATTGTTTGATGTTCCTCAATAAAACTTCATAGTGTTCAAAAGCACCAAAAATGCTTATCTCTTTTCATTTGTTATTAATACAATGGTATGTATTTCTGTCTCTTTTTCTGCACAACACAGGAGTACACGTTGTCAAACACCCTCACAATTAAAACATTCAATTGGCATTCTCCAATGAGATTTTATCCAAGCCAGAATTCAGTCTCACAGTAGAAACAGGAGAAGAATTTAAGAGACATTTTTGAACCTAACACATAAAGTATGAAAGCTGTGGAATGTAACTGCCAGCACAAAAAAATTGTTTTTAATAAACTACCTCCCATGATGTGATTTAAACTAATTTAAACAAAAGCAGCTCAGTGTAGAGTATATTCTGTGGACTTGAGAATTATGCAGAGTTGAGGCTGAATCCTGACTGTACTGCATACCAACTATGATCTCAGACATGGTATTTAAACTCTGTCAACCTAGGATTACTTTTCTCTTAAGAAAGGATCATAATAACTCAAAAACACATGAAGGTAATCACAAAATGTCAATGAGATAAAGATGCCTGATTGACAAACACAAGCAGGCTCTCTTTTACTACCAATTAGCCTCTGTTGTATTTTTTTTTACTTTTTGTAAATAACTATAGATTTTGAAATAACTATAGGTTAATATGAAGTTGAATAAGACAAAGTTCCCTGTACCCTTCACCCAGTTTCCCTCAGTGATCACTTCTCATAGGACCATAGTACATGTCAGATTCCCCAAAATCTGACATTTGTTCTAAGTTCTAGGGATCTAGTAACTAGCATGGTGATTATAGTTAATAATACTGTATTGAGTACTTGAAATTTTCTGAAAAAGTAGATCTTAATTGTTCTCATTACACACACAGAAAATAGTAACTATGTTAGGTGATAGGTTATTAGCTAACTTGGTTGTGATAATCAGCTCACAATATATGCGTATCAAGGCATCATGTTGTACACTTGATATTTGTAAAATTTTATTTGCCAACTATACCTCAATAAAGCTGGGGAAAACGAAAGTGCTAAAGCACTAGAAGAAATCATGAGAGATTTCTAAACATAATGCAAACTTATATTAAGTAAAACACACACACTCACCTTACAAAGAAAAAAAACTCAATTAATGTAAATAAAAGTGATCTCCACTGAATCATCAGTAGGCACCCATCATCTGGGTTCCTCAAGCGTATGATTCTTTTCCCGTAATTCAAAGTCTCGAGGAAATCTTAGAGTTGTTCTCGTATACCATAAAGGGGCTCACCAGGGTTTTAACCCCGTAACAGCTTGGAACCTGCTTCTGTTCACTCTGACTGAGGAAAAAGGCTCAGGACCTCAATACGATGCTGCGTCTGGGTACATCAGAGCCAGTGCAGGCTCAGAACACCAGCCGGTGCTGAAGCAGGGGCCCACTCAGGAGCCAGATTGTTATCCTGGTTGTGTAAGCCTGGAAATCAGGAACAGGGCAGCAGTAGAAACTGGTTAACAATATAACAACATCATATTCCATTTATTAGACTTACATGCACCTGAATGCAGGGAGGGAAGCTCAAAGTAATTTCATCCAATTCCCTCCATCTGGCTCTTGCATGTGGCTCAGTCAGCAACACCAGCTCACACTGGAACCCCTCCCCTGATTATCTCTAGAGGCAGCCCGTTTCATAAAGCACCTTCCTCATGGTGAGTCAGATTTTGTTTCTCCCTAGGAACATCCTATCTTCCCTATCCTGTATCAGCCCATGGCAGCCATTTGAGGAAGTCCATTCTCATACAGAGGCCTTTCAGGCTGCACTGCCTTTGCTTTGCTCCAGTTTTCTCCTTTTTAGGTTAAATTTCCAAAGCATTTCCATTTGTTCCTCACTGATCATAACGTCACCCTCAGAGCAACTTTGCTTTTCATAAACCCCAATTTATCTTTATCCTTCTAGCCTGGATTGAAATGCATTTTCCAGATGTGTTCCGAACTCTCTGGGAGGATTAGAAATGCCACATCTACATTAGTAAATGTCCCACTTTCATGAATGTTTCAAGTTTGCATGCAGGAGTTAACACAGCTTTAGTGGCAGTAAGTGGTTGGCCGTAAGTGTGAACTAATACTGAGGTTACTAGAGTGTGAAACACTTAAGTGGTCCTCATCATAAACTGCTTCAAGGTCTTCTTATACACATACAGTGGTTGTTTCTAGACAAGAAGTTCTCAACCTGTCTTTCCACCGTATGCCTGGAGTAATAGGGCTCATAGTGGTGATCCAGGTTGAGTACCCCATATCTGAAATGCTTGGCACCAGATGTGTTTCAAATTTCAAGTTTTTTCAGAGTTGGAATATTTGCATTATACTTGTTGAGCATCCTTAATGCAAAACCCTGAAATCCTAAATGTTCTATTGGGCATTTTCTTTGAGCATCATATAGGTACTCAAAAAGTTTCGTGTTTTGGAGCATTTCAGATTTCCGATTTTCACATAAGATGTCCTCAACCTGTAATATTTTATCTAGTGAAAGTGTGCTAAGAGTGGACAAAACATTAGGGTGTGTGCGTAGTTAAATAAATACTCCCAATAAATTTAGATATATTCACTCCTCCCGAATCTCGTTTGCCATGTGGCATTAATAACCACTCTTTTGATCTACAATTGGTTCTGATACTTCATCTTGTTAGGTTTGATTCCTTGTGAGAGTATTTCTGTTGTTTTGGAACCATGGTTCTGCCATTTGGTATATTCACTTTTTCTTTCCTTCACGGCCTCCAAATATTTTGATGAGCATGTTTTATGGAAAGAGCCTCAGCAGAGTTGAGGTGTCCATAGTATCCTCGGAGAGGCCAGTCCAGACAGAAATTGCTAACCAAGAGCATGCTAAAGTGGAGGGTGACATGTAATCAGAAGAATGTGGCACAAAGACAGAGAGTTTCTGCCTTCTTCCTTGGGTTTCCTTAACACCCAGGTTTGGGGGAGTGTGTGTGTGTGTGTGTGTGTGTGTGTGTGTGTATAATATTCCTAAGGTAAAGGGCCTTAGGAGATAAAGGTAAATACATATTCCTAAATAAATATAATAAAATAAAAGTAAATATATATTCCTAAATATGTTATTATATATGATATATATTTATATATTACTAAATACAAACATATGAGGAATATGCATTATATATTCATAAATATATAAATATATATATTCCTATATTACCTATATATAAAGTACTATATATACACATGCATATATATTCCTAAGGTCCTTTGGGGGAATATATATATTCCCTCAAGCCTGTATGTGTGTGTGTGTATATATATATACTGATGTATATGTGTATGTGTGTATATATATACACACACACATATATATACACTGATGTGTATGTGTGTATATATATATACACACACATATATATACACTGATGTGTATATACACACATATATATATACACACACACACACATCAAAAGAAAATTATGGGTCTAGAATAATTAAAATCACCCAAGGTCAGACATAATGTGTATGTGTGTATGTATATACATATATATATACATATATATATGTTTATATGTGTGTGTGTGTAGGTATGTGTGTATATTTATATATAATATATAAATATATATGTGTGTGTGTGTGTATATATATAGATAGATATAGATATAGCAAGGATACTAGGTCCTTTACCTTAGATTGGCAAGTAAACCTTAAAAATAAAGGAGATGACTCAATGTGACTGTTAAAGCCAGAGAGACAGGAAGGAAAAGTCAGAAGGAAAATCAGCCCCTCAGAGCAGAGAGCGGAGGGACCTGAACCTTTTAGTATAACTGATCTCTGTAGCCAATTTCCGCTAAAGGCCCTGCAACTGAGTTTTGGAGTGTTGTTTCTCAAGACAAAGAAGCATCAATAATTCATGACTTAGATGTCCACCTTAAAACAATTCTGCTTTCCCCATCAGAATGTCTAGAAAATGGGTCATGATTCATTGTATGGAAGGTGGCAAGGAATGCATCCTAATAGTATTTGTGTTTTCATGCCACTGGTCACCTGATTCACATTCAAACCTTCATTGCCCACTTGATTCATAACAAACATGCCATGAGATTAAAGCACAGCTTTCTCCTCCTGAATCACCAAAAGAAAATTATGGGCCTAGAAGAATTAAAATCACCCACGGTCAGACATAATGTATTCAAGAAAATGAGGCTGCAGCGCATGGTACCTACAGGCAGATGTCACATGGCAGCTCAAGGAGGAAGCTACAGCAAGAGGCACACAAGAGGTTGTTCAAGAAGAGCTGACCTGAGGAATCCTAACACACCAGGGGAAGGAAATAATGCTTTCCTCCATGTTGACAAATTTAAGCAGAAAAACAAACTTGCCTAATTTGATAATTGCCTGCTTATCAGGACCAACAACAACAAGGAAAGAGTGCTGCATCTGATGACATCAGGTCTTAGCAGGGTATAAAAGAGGATCTGGGGCAAGGAGACTTCCAAACCTTCCAAACCCTCCTTCCTGGAAACCCACCCAGAACCTCCACCCTCTGACACCATGGTCAACTCCTGTTGTGGCTCTGTCTGCTCTGACCAGGGCTGTGGCCTAGAGAACTGCTGCCGTCCCAGCTGCTGCCAGACCACCTGCTGCAGGACCACCTGCTGCCGCCCCAGCTGCTGTGTGTCCAGCTGCTGCAGGCCCCAGTGCTGCCAGTCTGTGTGCTGCCAGCCCACCTGCTGCCGCCCCAGCTGCTGTCAGACCACCTGCTGCAGGACCACCTGCTGCCGCCCCAGTTGCTGCGTGTCCAGCTGCTGCAGACCCCAGTGCTGCCAGACCACCTGCTGTAGGACCACCTGCTGCCGCCCCAGCTGCTGCAGGCCCCAGTGTTGCCAGTCTGTGTGCTGCCAGCCCACCTGCTGCCGCCCCAGTTGCTGTGTATCCAGCTGCTGCAGACCCCAGTGCTGCCAGACCACCTGCTGTAGGACCACCTGCTGCCGCCCCAGCTGCTGCAGGCCCCAGTGTTGCCAGTCTGTGTGCTGCCAGCCCACCTGCTGCCGCCCCAGCTGCTGTGTATCCAGCTGCTACAGGTCCCCGTGTGGCCAGTCTCTGTGCTGCTAGCCCATCTTCTGGCAAACAACCTGCTGCAGGACCACCTGCTGCCACCCTAGCTGTTGCATTTCCAGCTGCTGCCATCCTTCCTGCAGTATCTCCAGCAGTAGTAGCTCCTCCTCCTGTGGTTTCAGCTGCTTCAGGCCCTCCTGCTGCATCTCCAGTTGCTGCCACCCCAGCTGCTGCCAGACCACCTGCTGCAGAACTCAGTGTTTTCAAACCAACTGCTGTGTGTCCAGTTGCTGCCGTCCCAACTGCTGCCAGACCACGTGCTGCTGACCAACCTGCTGTAGTGCATCTTGCTGCTGAGACTCTCATCTGAACTCACCCGATTCTCATCAACCAGCATTCTTGATGTAGCTCATCTATGAGCTGAGTCATGGGAAGCTAGTTGGAAAACTTCAGTTCCAACCAATTCTTAGATTGAATCTGGCCTCCAAATATATGCTCCCCCTACATTTTACCTCTCTACCAAATGAACATGGGTTGTAATTTGCTCCAAAATCTGTCAACTATCTTAATTGAAATATTTGCTCTCTGCCGTAATTTCTCATATGGAGCTATTCCATTTTAAACAAATATTTACCTAAATAAATATTAAATAAATTTTCAGGCATAGAAATATACAGATACTGTGTCTTCTTATTTTTCTTTTTTGGGTGTGGTCATTACCAGTCATTTTTCTGTTGTTCTCTCTGCAGAGGAGAAGACCACAGCACGTAATTTCAGGGGCACCACCTCTATTTCCTCAGCACACTTTATTCTAATATACAATGGTGGTTTCTTAGAGCAAGCAACTGGAACTCTCTTCTTGAAGAGTTTCTGTAGCCAAAGGGCAAGCTCTGGACTGTAGAGTTAAAGCTTCTCAGAACAGCACTCAACAAATGAGTAGGGGTTGGTGAACACATGTTTTAGTTATTTCTCCTCCAGTTCGGAGCATGTTGTACCAGCCTGTCAGAAGTCCTCAGAGACACCAAATTCCAGCTGCCTACAGGGCTATTCTGATCATTAACTCATCTTGTATTCACTTCCCTCCCTTTCCTGGAACATTTTTTGTGTTCCATACAGCACTTCTTGGGACCACCTCCCAAATATACTCCTGGGTCTGCTCCAGTGGGTACCCAATCTAAGACACCAGTGTTCCTAACCTCAGTTCTTCAAACATTTTTCAAACTTCAAAACATTTTTCCTTCTTTATTGATATATAATAGATGCACATATAAAATTTTGATATATCCATATAATGTGTAAAGATCCAATCAGGGTAATTGGATTATCCATCACAATGCATCTTTTCTTTATGCTAGGAACATCTGAATTATTCTTTTGTAGCTACTTTGAAATGTTTAATAGCTTATTGTTAACTATAGTCATCCTACAGTTATATTGAATACTAGGTCATATTTTTCTCTCTAACTTATATTTGTACCCATTAATCAACCTCTTCATTTCTCACAGGCACCCTCCTCTGATTCTGATAACCAGCAAACTATTATTTATCTTCATGAGTTCCATTCCATTAGCAATTTGTCTTTCTGTGCTTGGCCTATTTCACATAACATAATTAAATCATTTTTATACAATATCTGTGGTTACCCCGGTGTCACGGTCAACTCTTGAGTATACTGTCTACTAAATAGGTAAATGTTCTAAATATTCTCCTCCTCCTCCTCCTCCTCCTCCTCCTCCTCAGTTTTGGCACAGTTATCTCTGGACTAGTTGTCTTTAATATCTCTCTCTCTCTCTCTCTGCTTTATTTATTTATTTTGAGATGGAGTCTTGTCCTGTCATCCAGGCTGGAGGGCAGTGGTGCCATTTCAGCTCATTGCAACCTCCACCTCCCAGGTTCAAGCAATTTTTCCACCTCAGCCCTCCAAGTAGCTGGGATTACAGGTATGTGCCACCACCGCCAGCTAATTTTTGTATTTTTAGTAGAAATGGGGCTTCACCATGTTGGCCAGGCTGGTCTCAAACTCCTGACCTCAAGTGATCCATCTGCTTCAGCCTCAAAAAGTGCTGGGATTACAGGCATGAGCCATCTCACCCGGTCTTCAGTCTCTTTTTCTTCCACATTATTATATCTGAAGGATAAGGCAGAATTGCCATGTTAGTAACTTCTATTCTAAAACAAACTGTGTTTAAGAGGTGCATTAAGTTGGATTCACTCAAAATAGAACCGGAAACAAGGATTCTTGGATGAGTGGTTTATAAGAAAATGCTCTCAGGAGAAATCAGTAAGAAACTGGGAGGCAGAATAGAGGAGTTAAAGAACCTAAGGCAGAACATGGTTTTTGTTGAATGATTTTCTCTTCTGGCCCTATAGGAAGCTCTAGAGAGTGAATAGTATCATAGCCCCATCTTTCTGAGAGGCAAGGCAGTTGGAATTTTGCACTCAGACATCAGTTACCACTAGCTCTGGGTCAACCCGTGGGAGAGGAAGAAGATTCGAAGATGGTCCAATCCTCCAGATGAGGTATCAATTAGGTAAACATAAAAAAAAATATGAACTTCAAAAGCCACAACAAAGCAATTAGTTTAAAGAGAAAAAAGTGCATAAAAGAAGAAAATTACAGCTGTTCTGTGTAATAAAAGAAGTACCATTTAGGTAGACTTGAGGCAATCTGTGTGTGTGGTTCTCTTTCACTGTTTATTATTAATACATTGGTCTATGTGTATTTCTGTCTCTTTTTCTGCACAACAGGAGACTACATGTTATCAGGGCATCATACAATTGAAAAATTAAATTGATACTCTCCAACAAGATTTTTTATCAAAACTAGGATTCTGTCTCACAGCAGAAATAGGAAAATGTGTAGAAGGAGGCATATTTGAACCTAATACATCTAACATAAGAGCTGTAAATTGCAACAGCCACTGAAATAGAAAGTCCTCAGTAAACTGCATCTCATGAATTGATTTAAACTTATTTAAAGGAAGGGATTTAAACTGATAGGGAAGTTCTATATAGAGTATAGCCTGTGCACTTGGGAATTAGAGTTGGGGCTGAATTTTGACTGTACTACATACCAGCTATGTTCTTGTACATGTTAACTATCTCAGCCTAGGGTTTTTTTCTTTAAAGAAAGGATCACAATAGCCACAACACGTAGTAAGGATGTCATAAATATTCAATGAGATTGGCAAGTAAAAGCATGCTCCTCTTTTTTTTCCAATAGTCTTCATATATCTTTTTTTTTAACTTTCTAGTTAGAAATAACTATAAATTCACAGAAAGTAAAAAAAAAAAAAAGTACAGCAAAGTCCTATGCGCCCTTCACCCAGTTTTCCCCAATTGTCACATATTCCATCACTAGAGTACATGGCAAACTCCAGAGACTGACGTTGGTAAAATCCACAGAACTTGTTCTAGTTTTATCAGTTTTACATGCACTTATGTGTATGTGTATGTGTATGTCTGTGTATGTTTGTGTGTAGATGTGTGGATAACTTAGAAGGAATGGATGAATTCCTAGAAACATAATACCTACCAAGACTGAATCATGAGGAATAGAAAATCTGAGTAGTCCAATAATGAATAAGAAGATTAAAGTATCAATAACAAACCTCCCAGCAAAGAATAGTCCAATACCAGATAGCCTCACATGTGAATTCTACAAGCATCTGAAGAAGGATTGACGCCAATCCTTATCAAACTCTTCCACAAAAAGTGAAGAGGAGGGAATACTTCCAACATCCGTTTATAATGCCAGCATTACTCTTTATCAAAGCCAGATAAGGACACTACAAGAAAAGAAAATTATAGGCCAATATACTTTATAAACATAAATGCAAAAATACAAAATACTCAACAGGATACCAGGAAACCTTATTCAACAACATATTAAAAAGATCATTCACCGTGATCAAGTGGGATTCACTCAGGTGATGCAAGGTTAGGTCAACACACATAAATCAATAAACATGATACACCACATTAATAGAATGAAGGACAAAAAGCATTTGATCATTTAAGTAGATGCAAAAAAAAAAAAGCATTTTACAAAATTCAAAATCTTTTAATGAAAAAACTCACAGCAAATTAGGCATAGAGGGAATGTACCTCAACATAATAAAGGTCACATATGACAAGCCCATAGCTGACATCATGCTGAATAGGGAAAAATTGAAAGCATTCTTCCTAAGAACTGGAACAAGACTAGGATGCCCACTTTCACCACTCCTATTCAACACAGTACTAGAAGCCCTAGCCAGAGCAATCAAGCAAGAGAAAGAGATAAACAGCATTCAAATTTGAAAAAAGAAAGTCAAATTATTTGTTTGCTGAATGAAATTGGACCCCTTTCTCTCACCGTGTACAAAAATCAACTCAAGATGGATCAAAGACTTACATGTAAAACGTGAAACTATAAAAATACCAGAAGAAAACTTAGGAAAAACTCTTCTGAACCTTGATCTAGCCAAAGAATTCATGACTAAGATCTCAAAAGCACAGGCAACAAAAGCAAAAATTGGCAGACGGGACTTACTTAAACTAAAAAGCTTCACACAGCAAAAGATGACATGATCTTATATCTAGAAAACCCTAAAGGCTCCACCAAAAAACTCGTGGATTTGATAAGCGAATTCAGTAAAGTTTCAGAATATGAAATCAACAAGCAAAAATCAGTAGCATTTGTATACACCGATAATGATCCAGTTGAATACCAAATCAAGAAGGCAATCTCATTTACAATAGCTATAAAAATACTGACTAATATATTTATCGAATGAGGTGAAAGATACCTGAAAGGAAAACTATAAAACACTAACAAAAGAAATTACAGACAACACAAATTGGAAATATCTCATTCTCATGGATCAGAAGAATTAATGCTGTTAAAATGACCATACTACCCAAAGCAGTCTACAGATTCAATGCAATTCCTACTGAAATACTAATGTCATTTTTAAAGGAATTAGGGGGAAAAATCCTAAAATTGATAGGGAAGTGAAAAACAGAGTCCAAGTAGCTAAAGCAATCCGAAGGGTTGGGGTGGGGGGAAAGCTGGAGGCATTACATTTCCTGTTCTCAAATTATATTAAAAGGCTATAGTAACAAAAACAGCATGGTTTGGGGTTAAAAATAGACACATAGATCAGTGGAACAGAATAGAGAACACAGAAATATAGCCGCAAGCTTACAGCAAACTGATTTTTGACGAAGTTGATAAGAACACACACGGAAAAGGATATCCTGTTCAATGAATAAATGATGCTGGGTACATTGGATTGCCTTTGCAGAAGAATGAAACTGGATGCCTCTCTCTCACTATGTACAAAAATCAACTCAAGATGCCCTAA